ATGATATTCTAATTTTTCGAGTTTCACCTGTATGTTTATACATTTTAAATGCACAAAAGTTTATATTTAAATACATATTTTAGTTTATGTTCTCACAAAACATACATTTATCCTAAAACGTGTATCTTAAACTTTATCAACTTTTTTGAGCACTGAAATGCTTTGCAAAATCAAAGGACTGCAAAATTAAAAGATAACCATGTTTTAATCCATGTTATTAGCCTAGAAATTACTGATCAGGTCAGTTCATGTCAAAATTTCCCCAAAATAAAATTCTTAAGCACCCCACCTCTGTTTTACTTATATGTTGGGGGAAATACATAAATAATTAAACTGACCAATGCCCATTTTAATTTCAAAAACAATCTTAAGACGTCAGTTAAAAAAAAAAGAGAGAACAGCAGAAAATTGATTAGAAGCCGCAGATATGTATGAGAGGGATCAACAGTGTCAAAATGGCAGGCTTAACAGGAGTGACTGAAGCTCAGACCCTTTTTACATGTGCATGATGCATGCAATGCATGTTAAAAAGGGGCAGGGCTTCAACCACCCAGTTGTGCCCATCATTTTGACACTGTTGACCCCTTTAAGGATGCTCCCGCCAGAAGCTACATTTTGATACTATCCAATCATAGCTCTGTTAATGTAAAAGTGGTAACAAATACAAAGTCTGCAGTATTAATTTAACAAAATTAAACCCTCTGGGGGAGATGGGTGGCATATAAATTTAACAACTAAATAAATAAAATTAATAGCAACAAGCTAAGTGAAGCTTTTTGAAGAAGGAAGGGAAAGAAGAGGCAAGCTCTGAAGCAAATTTAAGAGAAACAAAAAATGAAACTTTAGGCTGGAGGGATCAAGAAACTATACTTAACTATTACTAAATGTAAGAGAGAAATTGGGTATTTTCCTTTCCAATAAGTGCACTTTCATCCTGTAGGCCAGAACTTACATCTAAATCTCAAGGCAGCAGGTTCTGTTGATGAAGTGCGCGCCTAACTATACACAGAAATTATACTTGTTTTGATAGTTTCATGCTGCGAAGATACAGCCTTTTGATCAGATATTGTAGCTCCTTTGAAATTAAAGGACAATAGTTGGGATATTAGTATCTCCCTACAATGACATTTTAGCCATTACGCTTGTCCTCTCCAATACCTGTTATCTGTCGATCAGAAGCATAGAAAGGCAGCAGATAAACATCCTCCAGCAGTGTTCTAGTCTGTCCAGCTGGTGGCATTTGCTGGTAGATGGACCATATCTTTCTAGCTCACACATAAAAGCCTTCATCTTTCTACTCCTTTCCCGTCAGTTGTACTTTCATTAAAATCTGTGCCTAATTTAGGCCTCTTTTTGCTATTAGCAAACAATTTATAGGATTACTTTAAATATTATTATTATTAAAATAACTGATTTTCACAATGTAGAAGGTAAAAGGAAGGGTTGATAATTCAGAACTGCCTACATTATCATTTAACTGGCAACTGTTTAAAGTTAAATGATATTGTCCTATATATCTGAAACTCAAAATTATTTCAATTCTGCAAAGTATGTCTCCTTTCAATTAATACATGTTAACTTCTGTTACTTAATTAAAGTTGAACATAAAAGTCTACATAACTGGGTTGATCCTGAAAAGCTACTAACCACTGAGATGTTGATTTAGTTCAGGCTAGTTTGGCTTCTGCTGGAATTCTTTTTAGTTAGCAAGATATCGTAAGTTGTCCCTTAATAAAGATAGAAGTGAATCTTGTGAATCGTTACCTTGCACAGCTGGATTTGCTCCTCCCTCTTCATTGCAGTAATATTCATTACATAGAGCAGCTAATGCAGACACTGCTGACTCCTAAAACAAAAACAAAACCACAAAAATATAAAATGCCTTATCTTTCAAATGCACTCTAAAGGAACAAACAATTCTACCATAGAAACACCTTGCAGGCCCTCTGCAAAAGTCCTATTGTAATGTGTCCAGCGTCTATTCATGCAATCATTATGACTATGTCAAATAACCCATTCATCTGAGATTTCACATAGTTGAGTAACACCTAACCGTATTCAATTGTTCCAGTTTAGGAGCCAGAAGCAAGTCAGGCTAGTCAAACAATGCTACATTACAAATTATCCTGAACCAAAACCTCCATTTAGTAGGAGGATGGGAAGATATTGCAATTAGTTTTAGTATTACCCTGATGGCTCCGAAGGGATACCAATGAATTACATTTCAGTACACTCCAGTTATAGCCTAAACAAAACAGTGTTACCTTTGTTTAGTGTTTTGTTTTGTTTTTTTAATATTTAATCAATACCTTTGTTCTCTAACTGTATAAAATTTGGGCCAGTGACTATAATAAAGTATTTTACATTCTGTCAATAATTTATCTGATTTATTTCAAGTTGGTATGCTATATACATTGCCTATACCTTTAAAACAGACAAAAATAATACCTAGACATCCTGCATTAACAGAAGCAATTTAAACTTTTGGCATGAATGTATATCCATGAAGTGATCCTACTGATAACCCATGAAGGGATATAACATTTTGAGAAGGCACAGAATGTTGTCTAACATAGATGTTTCATAATACTGTCATCAGCAAAAGTGGCCACTTTACTGTTCACCTCTAACTCCAGATCATGTATTTGCAAGTTATAAAGCATAAATCATGGTACACACTATGGGAGTAGGGGAAAAGTTCTGTTTACATCTTTTCACTGCAAGGAATGTTGATTTACATCTACTCTCTGCTTTGTTTTAGAAAACCTAGAAATTTAAACTGTAATACAGCAACAAGCAAAACATGATATTTAGACTTATTTAGATCAATACAACTTGTATTGTCAGTATTATAGGGACATTCGCTTTCAACTGATTACCCCTCTTTTAATTAAACTCCCCGGGCATTCCGATAATTTTTACTTGCATTATT